CAGTTGTATCATACAATTTTAGACACAAACGTAGCCGTCTAACGGATCCATAAACTGTTCATAGTTTGAAGAAAAAACTCAACTACATACGTTTGTTCATTAACTATGTAGATACCAATGGTGTTGGTGGTATGCACATTGGGATATTGCAATATAAGTATAATTTTCGATTGGTGAAGAAAGAAATATTTTTATTTATTTTGTACTTAACATATTTTGTAAAGCCGACACGTTTTATAACAACGATTCTCTAGTTGCATTAAATAAATTCAAAACTGCCGTCGACTGTTAGATCTACACCTATCTGCTTCAGTTCTTGGAAGACATGGGATTTTATTTAATTTAAGTGCTGTCAAAAAAAACTTACGCCGCCATGTGAGGCGTGTGTGAAACGTTCGGCCGTGATATTCCCAGTGAGGAGGCAAAGCCACTTGCGGCTGGCGACATACACCCGTTTAAGGCGAGGACGATCGCGAAGGAATGTGGCCGCACAGCGATTTTTAGTTGCATGCGATGAGCATGAGCGTAACCAGGTTTTGCTATGGAGATCCCAGTTCTGGATTTACATTATCTGTATCCGGCTTCTACTCAGCAAAGTTATTGCACTACTTGCTGGTTATGTAAACTTTAATAAGGTCTACCTATAGATATTAAAGACCTCTATGACGATATATATATAACTTTATTTCATTTTAATCTAAATTATGCTTAATATAAAAATTAACAATAAATTAAAAATGGTTTTCAACAAATAACGTGAGGCTGACATAAATATTTCCGTTGTACATAGAGAGACTGATTTGCCTTTATCTTCAAGCATGACAGACGGACGGTTCTATCAGGCTTTCTGACTTTAAATCAATTAAAAATTTCATTACCTGTTTATAGACCAGTAAGTATTTATAAAAATACAATCGTTTTCTTTAATTTCTAGCAGGTAATTTATATATTTTGTAAAGTCAAATACTTTGTTCTAATAATTCACACGTCTTCAAAACATTACATCAGATATTAATATATATTAGCGTATTAGTTCAGACCTTATCAAGTAAAATATTAACAATAGAAAGCTTCCTCTCATCGCTTGCACCAAATCCAACAATGAATCGACTCATCCTTGCCAACTGCCTACATAAATGACACTCATACTTATTTGCTACAAGTCAAACGAATCGTTATTTGGTTTTATTAGGTAATGTGTTAATAACACTGAAGAGTTGTTGATGTCAAAACAAACACTCGCATATTACTAAAATAGACATGTTAGTATTGAGATAAATTTGCAAACATACACTATGAAAAATGTTGGACCTACGTGATAAAATATTGTTACCATAAGAGAACTCTTACATTCGGTTCTTCTGTAAAACATTAAACAAGCTTAAGGCTACGATAGTTTGGGAGTCCCTAAGACCCTAAGACACGCTGCAAATTATTATCAATGACAAGTAATGGAGTTCATTGGTGTTCCGAGCCTTGTACGGGTCAATGCACAAAGATGCCGCCGCGACCATCTAGAGTATAGCGAAACGGAGTTCGCTGCGAACTGCCCCGCCACATAACGGTGTCCCGCTCAAATATTTCAGGGCGTGATTCAAACCAACTCAGTATAACACAAATGACAGAAAAGGAAAAAGCTTTCTTTTGAGCTAAAGCATCATAACTTGCCTTTTAGGTTACACGTTTACACGTTATTATAGAAAACAATTATTTACATGATTTTTCTAAAATCTAAAAAAGATTTTCCTTCAACGCCATGTGTACTACTCTACTAGATAACCTAGCGTGGTGAGTATGGGCAAATCTTTCAAAATATTAATTAATATGTAGGTAATACAGCAGGTTAGCGTTAATTGTTAAAAATGGTAAAAGTGTGAGTGAGAGCGGATGTTCAAACTGTTCTCTTGCTTATGCAATTAATCATTATGAATAATAATACAGCGTAACGCAATATACATTAAGTATAGAGCAATTACAGTTCGACCATATCGTAATATGTCCCCGTCACAATCACGCACCGCTTTAACGTGAAGGTCATACTTACATGATAGCACCAAATTGTGCAACACAGGGCGTAGCACAGGGCATCCTCTCGGCAACACCACCCTGTACCAAGAGAACCACTACCAAGGACAGAACCACGAAATTATCTTGGCACTCCTGTATAACGTGAAGGACATAATTACATGATAACACCAAAGCATGCAAACCACTAGCAACACCACCCAACCTGACGTAACATCACGGCAGAATTCCATTTCACCATTCTCCTTACCTGCATCAGAAGAACCACCACCACGGACAGAACCACTACACTATCTTAGCGCTCTAGTATAATGACTTCACTCGTGGAATGACATCAGGCGAATCCCCACGCTCGGCACCTACACTGAACTTTATACTGCACAAACGAGTGGGGGTTTCCCGATCTACCCTCAATCCTACCCCGCCACCATATACAAATATAACATTGTTTATTTAATTATTACATTACTTGAACCCACGGAAGAATCACGGAAGATCAGCGTCGAAGTTTTCAGGCAGTTCCAAGACGATGCTGAATTAGGTAGGTACATTTTTAGTAACCATTCATCAAATTTAAAATGTCCTTATGTTGTAAGCAAATTTTTTATAATGTTTTGCTTAATAAACCTATATTCTTTGTTTGTTTCTTTCTATAGTTTCCCACTTATTCATTACAGCCTATCAAAAGGCTTCTACTAAACATTTGTGTCATTAAAAACATTTTTTTTAAATAAAGAAATTTTCGTGGCAAAAGTCCCCTGTGTTGTTTTACACATAGGTCACGCTTGGTGTGTTTTTTTTTTATTGGATAAGGATGACAAACGAGCACATAGTCCACTTGATGGTAAGTAGTTGCTGTGCCCATACTAAGAATCAAAATGCAGATACGTTGTCACCCGTGAGGTCTAAGATGGAATGCCTCCTTTCCAGGAAAAGGAGTTTCCGTCTCTCTAAACTCACCATAGGAAAAAGAGCAGCGATAAGCTGCTAATTTACGCTAGTATTCAGTGAGTGTGTGGTACTTCCTCGGTGAGCCGACACATTCGTGGTGCACTAATATAGCTGCAGCATGACTCTACTAAAACGTGTTACTATCACGTGTTATTATCAAGAAGGTGCTGTTGCTCATCTTCTGTTTCATTTTTCCTCTGTCGCCTCTCACAACACCTACGGGATGATATTGGGAAGGTAGTATATTATCTTACGCCGCCAAATTTTCAAGTAGTGCATGCCGATTAGCACATTCTAGAAAAAAGCCAAACCCAGCGGTGTCTTATGAAAAATGCTACTAAAGAAGAAGAAGCATTTATCCAATTTGGTTATTTAAGTACCTATAAAAAGCCAGTGCTTGACTACTATCCCACGTGATAGTAACTAAAGCGCACTGATTTAGCTTAACAGGAACCTATTAACTTTTGCCTTAAAGACACTCACATTGTCATTGAATGGAAATACACATGTTTACGTAATGTTTTTCACCGAACACATGGTAAGTCAAACTTTTAATGCGAATTTTCAATTGAAGAGACTACAGTCTACACTCGTATTTAGGTGCTAGCGTAATATAAAGTTTAAGGTATTTGTTTAACGCCTGGCCACCTAACAAAACAACAATTGCCAAGTAGTTAACATGCTAAGAATAATGAAGAAGTAATGCTAGGAAGTGGTGGAGCCACGTTGCGGTATTATGGCTACTGCTACTGAAGGACCATTTTTTCATAGTATACCAGCTTGGAATAGCAAATAGCTTGTGTTTTTCATATTTGAGACTCAGCAAAAACGCTGGTAACGAAACATTACATCTCGTCATCTTAATTCTTAAAATTGACAAAGCATCTAGACTTTCTAATGTATCAACATTCATTCTCCAGTACGGTAACATTCTAGTAAATTGTGGTATGCAACAGCTACCAATTTATCACAGAAAATGGTTCCAAAGTAATACCACTTGGTAATAAACTGTTATGTCGATGTTTACGCGTTTGCGCTACATAGCAACGGTTTCATATTGAACGGTGCGTGCTAAAATGCGGCCAATCGATTCCAAACAAATTTGCGTGAACACAACAATCTTCAAGGTACTCGACAAAGCTTGTAACTAAAAACAACATGAATATGGATAAATGAAAATAATTTAAACTATATAATTAAATTTTAAACTATATAACCTATGAAATTGCCGTTCTGCAATACAGGCCATTTGAAATCAAAATAATTTTTGTTTGGCTAAGAATTCTAATTTCAAATAAATTTTATTTTAAAAACATGGTATTCGTTTTCAAAATTAGTCATTTGCTTATTGAGTAGCGTTTGAATTTAGCGTTGAAAAATTTCATTACATCTGAAAATTTTTCGTCATCATCGTTAAAAATTTGAGTAACACAACAAGAGCACAAGCGGCACGCAACATCAACGACGTTTACGGAGCGAATACTACAAACAAACGCACCACCTGTTATTGGTTTGCCCGGTTCCGTTCTGGAAATTTCGACCTGAAAGTGAATCCCGTGATCGTCCGAAATCATTGGTTGACTATGACGAATTAAGGGCGATTGTGGAAGCTGACTCAATCTACGGCCGAATTAGCAGCAGTTTTCGATGTTAGCATCAAAACAATATTGGTTCATTTGTGTCAAATTGGCAAGGTAAAAAAGGTTAAAAAGGACCCAACAAATAACACACTTAAAACAACTAGTGACCTCATAAAAAAACACTCCGAAAAATTAAATCTCGACGTAAAATCGATAATATCTACGTGTGCCAAACCACCGAAGTTGTTTGAGTTACCAAAAATACACAAGCCCAATGCTTCACTACGTCCCATAGTGAGCCAAATCTATTCACCAACTTACAGATTGGCTCAACACTTAGCCAAAATACTTTCACCGCTCAAGGGACATACAAGAGCACACACAAAGGATTCCTACCATTTTGTCAGCGAGATTAAAGACCTACATCTGGCAGACAATTAAACTATGGCCAGTTTTGATGTGCAGTCTCTGTTCACATGCTTACCTGTTGAAGACTGCATCTCGATTGTTACTAGAAGGCTGAAGGAAAACAACGTGCCCGTAGAATATGCAGTATTACTCAGACACTGCCTTATATCTGGCTACCCATTGTGGAAGGAAGAGTTCTACAAGCAAGTAGATGGAGCGGCGATGGGCTCACCTGTATCTCCCATTGTCGCCGATATATTCATGGACGACTTTGAGGAGAAAGCCCTGCTTACTTCTCCCGTAAACCCAAGATTCTACAAGCGGTACGTAGACGACACTTTCACAATTCTACCTTTAGATAAAATAACTGCATTTTTAGATCATCTTAACTCCATAAATTCGAAAATTCAGTCCACAGTGGAGTTAGAGGCAAATAATTCTTTAGCTTTTCTAGATGTGTTAGTAATTTGGAATCCTGATAACACCTTGAGCCACACTGTGTATAGAAAAAGACCCATACAGATAGATATTTAAACGGTAAATCTCATCACCATCCTTCACAGTTAGCTACCGTGGGTAAATCTTTGTTTCAGAGAGCACGAGGGATCTGTGACAGTAAACACCTGGCCGCCGAGCTCCAACACGTCAAGCAAGTTTTGCATGACAATAAGCTTCGGGTACCGCGCCTACGTCATAATGAACGAGTGAAGCCGGCCACAGTCGAGCGAGTGCCAGCTGTACTGCCATATGTCAGAGGTGTCACTGGCTACATCTTGAAGGGTGCTTCCATTAAAACAAACTTCAAGCCGCCGAAGAAGATTAGTCAGTTTTTAACATCAGTCAAGTATAATGTTCCTCTGCAAGATGCAGGAGTGTACAAGCTTGATTGTGAATGTGGTCTCTATTATATAGGACAAAGTAAAAGATCAATAAAAACCCGCGTTAAAGAACACATAGCTGATGTGAAGAATCGACGCTCCGGGAAGTCTGCTGTCTATGAACACGTACAGGATCGCCCCCGTCACTACATTAGATTTGATAGACCACAAATCCACGCTAAAGAACACCGATTCCTTCCAAGGATGATTCGCGAGGCTATTGAAATCAAAAACCATCCTAATTTTTTTTTTATAGGAGAGGGGGCAAACGAGCATGCGGCTCACCTGATAGTAAGTGACTACCGCCGCCCATGAACAACCGCAACACCAGGGGAATTGCAGATGCGCTGCCGGCATTTTAAAAAGGAGTAGGCTCTTTTTTTGAAGGTCCCTAAGTCGTATCGGTCCGGAAAAATCCCTGGTGGTAAACTATTCCACAAGGAAGTTGTGCGAGGAAGAAAACATCTTCTAAATCGCACAGTGGTGGACCGCCAATCATCCAGATGGTGTGGATGGTATCGGGAGTTCTGCCGCGATGTGCGTTCGTGAAATTTGGCGGCTGGGATTAATCCGAACAATTCCTCAGAGCACTCCCCATGGTAGATGCGAAAGAAAATGCAAAGAGATGCAACATCTCTTCGCAATGCCAATGAATCGAGCCGATCGGAAAGGGCTCGGTCGTCGACGATTCGAGCCGCTCTGCGCTGGATGCGGTCAAGTGGAAGGAGCTGGCACTGGGGAGCCCCTGCCCAGAGATGGGAACAGTATTCCATGTGAGGCCGAACTTGCGCCTTGTAAAGTAGCAGGCGGTGTGCCGGCATGAAATACTGTCCCGCTCTGCTGAGCACGCCAAACTTTTTAGAGGCCAGTTTGGCCTTCTCTTCCAAGTGACCACGAAACTGCACGTCACTCGATATGTCGACTCCGAGGATACCAATACTGGCTGAGGCAAGAAGGGGAGTGCCTTGAAACTGAGGAGATACGACAAAGGGGTTCTTTTTAGCGGTAAACGCGCAAACTTGTGTCTTCTGAGGATTAAACTGGACTAGATTTAGTCGCCCCAATCCGAGACTTTGTCCAGCAAAGACTCGACTTCAGACACAAGTTTGTTCCGGTACTCGGCGACGTTTTTAATTTGAATTTCTATAGAGAAGATGGCTGGGTGCTACCATCTGCTTGGGATCCCATAATTAATAAAATTAAATCCCAACCCAAGCATAAAACTGTAAGATTTCAAGATACTGTAAGTTTATACTGCGTAGATCGGAATAAAAATTAATAATTTTTAATCTGGAGGTAGCCGTGATTAACTATGACATTGGGACGTCATACACCTCTGTCCCCGCCCCCCTCTCCGTGACCATGGGAATAAAATAAGTTAATATACGCGATAAAATCCGTAAAATTAGTTTATTTAAAAGGTAAAAAAAACTTGACAAAAGGGTGCCCCACGAACTCAATGATAGCTAGCGTAAAGTACGCGTCGAGACGTGCCTTGCACTATTCAACAGGCACACAAACGAAGGAATTTTGAACCGCATTGTTACCTAACTGTAAATTCCGCTCAAAATGAAACCAGTTTGGGGCAAGCGGAGCAATAAGACAAAGGCATCCTCTGCCACGCTATCCGTGAATTTCTGCAACATCAGGGGACTTTCTTCTAACATTAACGAGACGGCAAAGCCGGCCTTGCTCTTTCTAACCGAGACACAGGTTGCACTGCCGGGGGCTGGAGCCCGGGGTTCCTCCAGCGCCGGGCTGGAGTTTGTGTGTACGTCAGAAAGGACATTTGTTTTCGACGCCTCGGCAGTCTTGAAGGTAATGCCGACACAGAATATATAAAGCTGCAGAATCCGTGCTACAACAGGTCCCGTCTGCAGAGATCGTGATGCTCGGTAATATACACGGTTGCCGCCGTGTTTGGCACTATAGGTCAGCCGATTGGGACGCGATGCGGTTTATTTTACATCCTTTAATTGGCGGCGGGTTTGCTTCTCGCCGGATGATCCCAACGTTGTTGCTGATTCTGTCGCTGATGTGGTACTTCAGGGAATAAAACTATTTATTACATCATATGTGGTGCTTATTGCATCTCGCTATAAGCAGGAGTGTTACTGGGCCTTCGATGCGTCACGGCGTCTCGGGATGCAAACACCAGCGCTCTTAAAAAGAAGTATAATTCCCCCTCCAGGTCCTTCAAAAGTGTCATTGGTAAGGCAAAGTCAGAGCACATCGGCAGAATTAGCGAGAAACTAGTTAAACTTCCTTCGAGAATACGTGCATTCTGGTCTACCGCCAAAGCTGCCCAAGGGAACATCTGTCAGCCATCTCTGCCATCTCTGACCTTTTGACCTATCCAAAGCCTTCGATTGTGTTCACCATGAAACATTAATCAGGAAACTTCAGCACTACGGTGTAAGAAGTGATGCTCTTAAATTAATTATTTCATATTTAACGCAAAAAGTTATCATTAACAGTATGAGCTCTTCCGGATCGATGCTACAAATGGGCGTGCCTCAAGGCTCAATTCTCGGCCTCTTTCTGTTTCTTGTATACATTAATGACTTACCTTACACAGTAGGGCATAACCAGTATTATTTGCAGATGATACTTCTTTAATTTTCAAATTAAGTCGACAATTATTAAAGTATGACGAAGTAAATAATGCTATATCTAAATTAGTAAATTGGTTCAATGTTAATAATTTGCATTTAAATGGCACTAAAACGAAATGTATGAAATTCATGACTCCAAATGTCAAACAATTAAATACTAATGTTATTTTAAATGGGGAGAAACTGAGTCTTGTAGATACCACCATTTTTCTTGGAATCACACTAGACGCGAAGCTTCAATGGAGCCCCCATATATCAAAACTAGCAAGCAGACTTAGTTCTGCAGGATATGCTGTAAAAAAGATTAGAAGTCTTACCAGTGTTGAAACAGCTAGACTAGTTTACTTTAGCTATTTCCATAGCATAATGTCGTATGGTATTTTACTATGGGGACACGCAGCTGACACTGAAATTATATTTGTTTTACAAAAGAGGGCCATAAGAGCAATTTATGATTTAAAGCCTGCGACAAAAATTTAAGGAAATTAATATATTAACTTTGGCCTCTCAATACATTTATGAAAATGTAATGTATGTATGTTACTGTAAAAGCTAGAACTACGGTAAATTCCAAGATTTTGCAGTAAAACCAAAGATTTACCAAGTCCATAAGGTAAAAGTCCGAAGTGTTCTATGATAATCGTTTATTTCGGACTTTTACAAGCATTCACTCAGTAAATCTTACGTTTTACCGCTAAGACACGGTAAATGATGAAAAATGGTCATGTCTAGACGTGTTCGGCGCATTATCGTACTTGCGGACAGTGTGCAGCCCTCCCCGCTACCTGTGTCACCCTCTGATTTTATTTTGAGACTGCAACATTTCCAGCGCTGTGGGAAGAGCAGCCTCTACGCCTTTGCATAACAAATCGTAGGCATCGGACGAGAAGGAGGTTACAGCAGGCGGAGGCTGCTCCCCCTACGCGCCTCCGGCTCTATAAAAACACTCTAGGGGTAGGACAGATTCGTACCAGGTGGAGTCAGGGTCAATCAATTCGGTTCCTTGACATAATTTATTAATCAATTTTATACTCACATAGTTTTGGTTTAATTAATTCTTCGAAAACATCTTTATGCGCTATTTTATTTTTCTTCGCCAAGAATATTCAAAGAACCAGTCTGTGAAAAAATATCGATATTTTAGAAATCGATTTGTTGTGAATCGATACATCATCTCTTTATTTCTATATTCCACTTTCAAAAAACAAGCCTCTTTATTTTTCTATATTCTACTTTCAGAAATCACCATAAAACTGTTTTAAAATTATGCAGGTAATATGATTCAATGTTTAATAAATACTTTCTACTTATATAAATATATTGTTTCATTTCCAAAATCAATACTTACTGGTAGTTTTTGGTTAAACCTAGGATGCACCAAACTCTAACGGTAAAAGCGCGTAAATTCGTCGCATTTTATATCAATCCTTACATTTACCAGCTCATATTGGTAAATCCTAGGATTTAAAAATAAAACCTAAGATTCACCAAAATTCGGGCTTTTACAGTAACATGTACACAAAAATAAAAGTAGTTTTACAAAAACAAGTGATATTCATTCTGTAAATACTAGGAACAGACACAAGTTAGTAGCAAAGAGAATATAACCACTACGTTTAGTTAGTAGTACCAGTTACTCGACTCCATCGTGTCAGTAATTCATTCTTGGGGCGATGTATACGCTTTTACATCAAAATTCCAGAAAATATACAAAATTTGACCTGCTCAAAGTTCAAAAACTTTATTAAACTAAGTTTGTATAAAAAGGGTTATTATAATATTAAAGAATTTATGGATGATAATAACTCCTGGAAATGAGGTGGTCGCTACCAAGCTATTTCTAATTTGTTGTGTTGTTAATTTGTGTAACATACATGACTGTAAGCTGTTATTTAAAAAAAAAAGTCCCGCTGGGTTTCTTGCTGGTTATTCCCAGGACAGAGGTATTTTTTCGAACCAGTGGTAATTAAACAAAAGAGTGACTTTCAATAAGTATTATTTATAATCTATATTGAATAAAAAAAGTTTCTGTTTCTGTTTC